TCAAACTCAAGAAAACTGAGTCATATGACCAAATGTATTATTGAGCACCCATGAAGTGCTGGAGACTGGGCAGCAAACAACAAATAAGACATCATCCATGACTCCCAGGAGTATACAGCCCAGGAGGAGACGGGCAATTACAATTCAGTGCTATGCTGGGCTAGTAAGGAGTACCAGGTCTGGAGTCAGAATGCCTGGGATGAACCCCTATTGGTCACATTACCATGCGACCTTGACCAAGGGAATAGTAATGGTAACTACCTCACAGTGCTCTAAAAGATTAAACGAGTTATTCTACATAAAGCATTTAGAATGGTGCTTGGCACATAGTAAATGGTATACAAGTATTTACCGTTGAAGGAAACCAGTATATGTCACCCTGAAAATATGGCTCTATGTCATAAAAATTATTCTGAGCTAAAGGCAGTTAAGAAGCAGATTAATCGCTTCTTTTTCTGCTTAAAGGCAGGATATAAATTCTCCTTTACTGGAAATGACTCTGGACTCTTATCAGCCCAGAGATGGCACCTGAGGAATCTGCAGACAAATCATACGCCATTAGTTTCCTCCTATATATTATCTTCCCACTGTTTGCCACCCTTGGAAGCCGAAAATCATTTTCCTTTGTCCAGTCATTTTTCTACAAATGTATTGCTCTTTTTTTTTATTGAAGTATAGTCAGTTACAATGTGTCAGTTTCTAGTATACAGCATTATGTCCCAGTCATGCATATATATACATATATTTGTTTTCATATTTTCCATTAAAAGTTATTACAAGATATTGAATATAGTTCCCTGTGCTATACAGAGGAAATTTGTTTATCTATTTTTATATATAGTGGTTAACATTTGCAAATCTCAAACTCCCAAATTTATCCCTTCCCACCCGCTTTCCCCCAATAACCATAAGATTGTCTACAAGTCAGTTTCTATTTTTGTAGACTTCATTAGTGTCCTCTTTTTTCTTTTTTTAGATTCCACATATGAGTGGTATCACATGGCATTTTTCTCTTTCTGGCTTACTTTACTTAGGATGATGATCTCCAGATCCATCCATGTTGCTGCAGATGGCATTATTTTATTCTTTTTCATTACTGGGTAGTATTCTCTTGTATAAATATACCACAGCTTCTTTATCCAGTTATCTGTTGGTGGACATTTAGGTCACTTCCATGTCTTGGCTATTGCATATAATGTTGCTGTGAACACTGGGGTGCATGTATCTTTTCAAATTAGAGTTCCCTCTGGATATATGCCCAAGAGTGGGATTGCTGGATCATATGGTAAGTCTATTTTTAACTTTTTGGGGAATCTCCATACTATTTTCCATAATGGCTGCACCATACTACATTCCCACTGTAGTGTAGGAGGGTTCCCTTTTCTCCACACCCTCTCCAGCATTTATCATCCATGGACTTTTGAATGATGGCCATTCTGACTGGTGTGAGGTGACACCTCATTGTAGTTTTGATTTGCATTTCTCTGATAATCAGTGATACTGAGCATTTTTTTCATGTGCCTATTGGGCATTTATATGTCTTCCATTAGAGAATTGCTTGTTTAGGTCTTCTGCCCATTTTTGGATTGGATTGTCTGGGGGGGGTTGTTATTAAGTTGTATGAGCTGTTTATATATTCTGGAGATTAAGCCTTTGTCAGTCGCATCATTTGCAAATATTTTTTTCCCATTTCGTAGGTTATCATTTTGTTTTGCTTATGGTTTCCTTTGCTGTGAAAAGCTTGTAAGTTTAACGAGATCCCATTTGTTTATTTTTGCCTTTATTTCTATTGCCTGGGTAGACTGCCTTAGGAGAATATTGCTAAGATTTATGTCAGAGAATGATTTGCCTATGTTTTCTTTTAGGAGGTTTATAGTGTCTTGTCTTATATTTAAGTCTTTAAGTTATTTTGAGTTTATTTTGTGTATGGTGTGAGGGAGTGTTCTAACTTGATTGA